ACAAAATAGCCAGATACGGATAGAAACCCTAACGCTAAGCCTAATATGGCACGAATCGCACCCCGATTCGCGCCTCATATTGGTTAGGGATCGCGCGTAATAAGAACCTACACTTTTAAGATTATACTTAAGCACTTCTGAGGTAAGATTACCTACGCACGGACTAGTTTTCAGACACTTTTGATGGCGAAGCCTTGAATCTAATATATATAGTTACTATTACATACAGTACCTGCTATTACTAATAGCACTATCTTAGCGTAATAGCGTATTACGTGACCTTGCCCCGCGATACCTATCGTTTCTAGTTAGTATCCTAAGTAGTTCCTTAACCACTATACCATTATTACTAGGGAGAGGATCCTTTCCGTTGTTGTTTATAACACTCGGTGGTAAAACACGTTATACTAGATTAATATTATAGAATTCTAATATAAAGCTTATTAGTCTTAATATAGATCTAGTTATTATAAGTAATAAGAAGAATTCTCTTCTTGACAAGTGACGAGATGGCGGAAGGCCTATAGACGTCCACGTCAGAAGGTAATAATTAACGCGGGGCGCTGATCACGTGATGTAGCATCTTGCCAAGACAGGACATCTAGAGATGCCAGAGGCTTGGCCAGATACTAGACCAGAAGCAATGAGGATATAAGCATAGATAGATTTCATTATTACTCTCGTTATAGTTAACTTAAATTGTACTTTCTTACTAGGTACTTTACTTAATAAGATTATTACCTGTTAGTCTATAGCAATATAGATTAATAGTTATCAAACCTATTATTACCTTCTTATTAAGCACTCCACTCTACTGCATCGCCAGACAACTTTCACGGAACACTAGCGTAAAGCTCACCGGCCTTAGTGTAGGACCCGGCAAGAGAAGTATAGATCCAAACCCCGTGTAACACACAATGTGTCTCTATTTGCGAAAACCAACTAATAAGAAGCTTGACACCAGAAGTCTAATATTACTTCCACTCAAGCTATACTCTTAACACTAGATAGGTGCAATCACACAGTGATTAAGTATCGCATGTTCGTTCACTATGTTGGGGCTATATACTACATTCCCGCGAATCTCACTCTAAAGACCCTTCTCCCCCAACCACATCTCAATCTCTCTATTCGTTTCCTCAGGGTTCTCCAGCATAGGCCAATGCGTAGCCTCAATCGTGACCACCTTAAGATCCTTACACTTCTCCATCTGCTCCTCGCCCATCTTCGGCGTCGTGCTCGGGCTGCACACAGGGTCGTGCTTAGCATCGATGAACAAGACTGGAAACTCCAAGACGCCACCATTCTTCTCCTTCCTAGCGAACACCTCGTTCACATCGTGGTTTAAATAGTACGCGAACGACGGAAACCAGCCATGCTTCTTATGCGATGCGACTAGGTTCGCGTGCAACGAGGGCGAAAGCACAGTATCTTCGAGTGGCACATCGGGAACCCGTTCAGGATGGTCACTAAGCCAGCCTCCGTCTCTTAAGGCGCGGCTCGTCGGCGCTGGCTTGCCCCATTGCGCGGGGTCGTGGCGCATGTATATAACTTTCGAGAAGCGCTCCGTGTTGTCGTCGAAGCACTTAGCGCTTTCCTCAGAATGCAGTTCGTAGTACCGCATGTATTCCCATGGGCCTATAGGGTACTCAGCTTCGGGATAGATGTCTCGGTTTACGAGGGTGATGAGGTGGTTGAGGCCTAATTGGATAGTGTGGTATGGCACGGCTAGGACCGCGAGGGCGAGGAATAGTGAGGGGTGGTGAGCTGCGAGGGCGCTTGTGACTACGGATCCCCAATCGTGGCCGATCCATACTGCCTTCCTTATCCCTAGTGCAGCAGCGAATTCGACAAGCTCATCAGTTAATGTTTCTAAGGAATATGCACGCTTATCCTTCGGCGCAGTAGACCCACCATAGCCCCGCATGTCGAGGGCAATGACGTGGTATTTTCCGGACGCAGAGAAATGCTTGAGTTGGTGGTGCCATGATTCCGCGATATCAGGCCAGCCATGAATGAAAATGAGGGGAGTGCCAGATTTAGAGCCACCTTCATAGTAATGCGTGACTTGGCCATTCTTATGAGTGAGGTCGGAGGCTGTGAGGAAATCCATAATTTATATGTTCAAAACCTTCCACTTTTAAGTTCCTAGTTTAAAGTAAATTGAGGGATTCGTATTTTTGCAGATAGATATTAAGCTGAATCGTACATAATAAGTAGTGAGATACTTATACACCTCGGAAGCACCGGAAGCGAAGCAGGGTTATAACGAGCCGACTTCTACTACTGTACTAGTACTGCTTCTAGTATATTCCGCCTTAGAGCCTATTTAGTCACGCAGTTACGTGTTACACGGGGTTAGGTGTCGATACTTCTCTAGGCTCGATCTAGTTTAGAGTAAGTAGGATTTGAGATTAGCTGATTAGCTTAGATCTCTAACAAGGTTAGGTGGGGTGCACAGCTTATCCTGATCTATGCAGCTTACTAGCACGCCGGACTAGCACGCCGGACTAGC